TCATAGTGGTAATCTGGTAGTAGCTAAAGGTTTCAGAATTCTGATACAACTAACATAGTAGCGGAAGCTAGAGCTACAAGGGAGAGTCTTAATTGCTGTATTGAGCATGAAATTGCTAATATCATTATTTAGACTGACTCTTTAGTTCTGGAGAATATTTTAGATGGAGTGTGGAAAGTTTCATGCAGTGTGGCATAGGATATTAGTATAATCAGGAGATCGAGAAGATATAATACAACTAACATAGTAGCGGAAGCTAGAGCTACAAGGGAAAGTCTTAATTGTTGTATTGAGCATGAAATTGCTAATATCATTATTTAGACTGACTCTTTAGTTCTGGAGAATATTTTAGATGGAGAGTGGAAAGTTTCATGCAGTGTGGCATAGGATATTAGTATAATCAGGAGATCGAGAAGATATAATACAACTAACATAGTAGCGGAAGCTAGAGCTACAAGGGAAAGTCTTAATTGTTGTATTGAGCATGAAATTGCTAATATCATTATTTAGATTGACTCTTTAGTTCTGGAGAATATTTTAGATGGAGAGTGGAAAGTTTCATGGAGTGTGGCATAGGAGATTAGTATAATTAGGAGATCGAGAAGATATATTCCGCAAGAGTAAACATGCCCTTAGAAAAGGAAATACGGTTGTAGATTTTTTTACTAATTTAGTTTTATCTTTTGCAGGTGATTTTTAGAATAACCAATTTCAAAAAAATCATAGCACAAAAAAGAGGATACTTAATCAAGCCAAATATGGTACACCATGCATAAGGAATCTTCTACACAATTAATGGAGCAAATAGTGGTATGTGTATCATAGTCCATGATCCATTACTGCTTACATATAAGTTCAATCGTCTAAGGTAAAATTATCTATAATGATAAGCTAAAGTTTGATGTAAATTCAATAGATTTGTGTACTTACACATGGTGAGAGCTTGGGGTGTCCATTAGTCCCAAATCAAAATTTTAGTTTCAACTAAAAATCACCATCAACAAGGTGGATCTGTAGAAACCTACAAAAGGATGCAATATAAATTTTCTCTGATTTCATTGTGGTAGAATTGTCCAAACAATGGCTTAAATAATCGTATTAATCATGAATGGGGTTCAATCCATTCAGACTTTGTATGGAGATAAAACTACAATGAGATAGAGCTGAAACATAGAGCCTTTATTTTGGTCATAGCATATGTGGATAGTTGATCTGTACATTTTGATGGCTAGAGTTAAGCTTCGGCGCAATAGTAGAACTTGTTTTACATGACGAGTTAAATTTACACCAAGATCTCCACTTACTAGTAGTAAATCTAACCGAGGGATTCACAACTCCCATGATGATTGGTTTTAGAGACAAACAAGGTAGAGTGATGAGATGAAGAACTAACCTTAGAGTTTTGAATGTTTCAAATGAGTGAAGACGAGAGCAATTCCATCACCGTGTCATCGCCTGAAAACCATAAGAGGATATGCATTAAAATTCTTTTTAACATTGGAGGAAAGAATTAAATATCTCACTTTGATTGTAGATAGAATTAAAGATCTCACCTTGATTGTAGCTTGAATCACAACAATGGAAGTGTATGAAGATTGAAATTTTAGAGGAGCGTATAAGGAAGAAACAGGAAGCTTCCGACTGTTCGTGTTCTCACTTTTCTTATATACTTTTTGTTTTTATTTTTTTATCAGATATTTTGTACCATTTGCCTATGCTTCTGTTTCTGGACCGGATCACTTTTGGGCTCGGTTATTTGTAAATATTCTCTTTGGTTTTATGAATAAATGGGCCTCGCCCGATTAAAAAGTGACTTGTTTCTTTTTAAGTAAGTCAATTCAAATAGGATCTTAAATGAAAGTACTTTCTTCATTAGAAGATGAGATACCATCCACATTAATTAGGGTAACCTCTCTCACTTATGTTTTTAGTTTTTAATTACCTTTCTTTATTTAAACACCATATATGGTTAAGGATTGGTTGATTGTTGATATCCTCCTGTCAGAAATTAATTGAACAGTTAGCCGAGATTGTGAAACTAGCATCCACATATATGTCAAACTGATTTTAACTAGTGTAAAGATATGACAATTTTGAGAAAGTGCATGTTTTATTTCAAATTTTAAGGCTAGTGTGTAAGCAAAACTTACTGCACATCAGGATCTCAAATACATTAATATTACAAAGATTTGTATTATATAATAATATACCTGAAGCATGAATCACAAAACTGGTCATTTTACCGCCATGCCTTGCCCTAGCTTATGTTACCACAACCATCAATGATGGAAAAAGTGTAAAATATGTTGAAACCCTAATAGAAGGTTGGAGAACCAATTTGTAAAGGTTAATTAAGACTTTATCTGCTACGTCAATCAAATCATCGGTGTACAAATGAGATCTATTCTTTATTAAATATTCTCTATCGGCTTTACATTAATTTAGCCACAAATAAAATACGGGAAAATTACGCAGTTAAGAAAACTTATAATACTTAATTACTCGTCATAGCTATATTTTTCTATAATTACCACTTGTGACTAACATCATACATTAATTATGTGGAATGACTTCGAGTTTGTATAATTAGTCACGTTTGTATATGTATAATTTGCCAGAATATAAAAATACATATGTATAATATACAATTATCTAACCGATATACATAAACAATTCACTTCTCTCCCACTCTATGCTCTCTCTTGCTTGCCTCTCTCCTCTCTCTGCAAATCTCGCATGCCATATATACAAATTCATTTGTATAATATACAATTATCTAACTGATATACATATACAATTCACCTCTCTTCATCTTTACCCTCTCTCACTCACCTCTCTCCTCCCTCTCCCTATCTCGCTTGCTTCTCTCTCCCAATCTTTTTTGCCATATATACAAATATATATGTATAATATACAATTATCTAACCAATATACAGATACAATTCACCTCTCTCCCACTTTTTTCCCTCTCTCACTCGCCTTTCTCCTCTCTCTCCCTATCTCGCTAGCCTCTCTCCTCCCTATAACATGTAGCTACGAATTGTAATTATAAAACTATAGCTATAGAGAGTGATTAGGCTATTTTTGAGTGGCTATATGTGAAAGTTCCTCATAAAATAATAGGTTACATTCTCCCACATGGCCGATTGACCACATAACTATAATATATTTAGTTTCACATATAATAAAAAAAAATTATAATGTTTATAATACATACCACAATATTAATGTAACGTCCCGAAAGTTGGGAAGTTGAAAGGATAAGGAAAATACAGATTTTTGGCACTGAAGTAGGTTCTTTGAGTCCAACCTACGAATCGTAGGAATTTCTACGAGTCGTAGGAAGGGATTCGTTGACTTGAAGATGAGTTTTTGGAATTTCAAGTTTCTGAAGTTTGAACTACGAATGAGTAGGTGAAACAGTAAGAAGGTTGACGAGTGGTAGGTGGGTTCCGTAGGAAGTTTCCATACTCGATGAAATTTTTAAACTAAAACTTAGTTTTTTACAGATGGGTTCTACAGACCATAGGAATTTAGACGGACCCTGTAAAGGTCGTGGAATGTAACGTGAATTTTGGATTTCTGAAGTTAGTACTATGTTTGACTAGTGCATACCATAGGAAGTTCTACGGACCGTAGGTCCAAACCATAGGAACCATCCGACAATTATTTTTAAGGGTATTTGGGTTTTCCCTATGCATTAAATGTCTATACTAGGTCGTTTTACCCCTATTTGTAAGTCATATGAATATCCTTCTACCACTAAAACTACCCTAACTCTCTCATTCACTCAAATTCCTAATTCATAACCACATTCATCTTCCTCAACTCTCTATGAAGTTCACAGAAGAAGAAGCTAGGGTTTTCAAATCAAGTCTCTTTTTTCACCATTGCTTTTGGGCTTTGATTCTCAAGGTATGTATAGTATCATTGATGGGTTACATTCACCCATTGAGTCCCAAAGGTTTCTCAATTCTCCAAATTCAATTTCATCAATTTGATTAGGTTTTCATTCAATTCCTCATGGGTTCTAGTTGTGTTGATTCAATTATTTGATTTGATCTTATTATTATGGTATTGATTCAATTACATGTTTTACAGTAAATATCACATGAACCCATGCATTTACCATGATTATTGACTATGAACTCTCAAAGACATGAATTTATGAAGAAACTATGAATCTATAAATTATGTTTTCACAAAGGTTATGCATGATTTATGAAAAGAAAGGTTTTATGATATAGCTTACTTTAAGATAAGCATCTATGAAATTGTGAAAGGATTTTGTCACATATTAAGGAATCATGTTTGGTGAAAGGTTTTCTCACACATTGTTCTCAAAGACATGAATTTATGAAGAAACTATAAATCTATAAATGATGTTTTCACAAAGATTATGCATGATTTATGAAAAGAAAGGTTTTATGATATAAGTTACTTTAAGAGAAGCATCTATGAAATTGTGAAAGGATTTTGTCACTTATTAAGGAATCATGATTGGTGAAAGGTTTTCTCACCCAATATTGATTCAAGAATTAATGAGCTACTCTATGATATTTTAAGCTTGGATTAATAACTTAATTTGTCACGCCCTGAGGCTACCCCCTAGACGCGAACAGGGGACCTAGGATTACTAGTGACCCCAAGCTAACCATGTTGGCATAACATGAGCATACTAATAGTAACTCAAGTAATAAATGCTATGAGGAAGTTAATCATAAGATAAATCTGAAATAATGGGGAATACCCATATACTAAATCAGAATAAAGAAATCTGAGAGTTCAATAACAAATGAAATATCAAACTCGAAAGCTTAGCTGAATCTAAACTATGTCTGAATGTAGCCTCTAACTGACTAGAAGTGTTGGGACATGCCCCAACTAAATCTAGCAAAAATGAAACTAAAGACTAAAAGCATAACAGACAATTATGTCACTCGTCCTCGAAGAATGAGCACTCACCACTGATGTTGCTGAATAGGAGATTGGGAACAGATCTATGCGTGATCGTGAAGCTGAGAACCTAAACCTATATCACGAGAAGATGTAGCGCATAGTATGCGTCAGTACTTGAAAGGTACTGAGCATGCAGGATATAATAAAGTTGAACAATAATCATAACTGAACCAAAGGAAGATGTCATATAATATCCCCCTGGATTTTTAGTTGATCGGTCTGCCATCAAGAGTCTCATAGTTGTAGCCTTTGCTTCATCCAAACCGAGTTGTTTATAGATCGTGTATGGAATTAGATTGATACTTGCTCCCAAATTGCATAAGACTTTGGCAAATTGGAGCATGCCTATGGTGCATGGGATGGTGAACGCTTCAGGATATTCTTTCTTTTTTATCAGCTCAGTAGTCATAATTGCACTACAACTGTGAGAAACTTCGATCATCTCAAAATCCAAGCTATTTTTGTTTGTGCCTAACTCCTTCATAAACTTGGCATAACCCGACATTTCCAACAATACTTCCACTAGAGGGAGATTAATAGATAGAGTCTTGAACACCGATAATTTTTTTTTGAACTTCTCATCTTCATTCTTCTTCTTGAGGCGTTGGGTAAATGGAGGAGATATTTTGGGTAAAGGCTGCTTAACTTTTGGGCTTGGCATGTGTTTCTCCACATCACTTTGCGGTTTCTTGGCAATGTCTTGATGGATGGTTATTTCTTCTTCCTCTATACCTTTGCCTTCTTCATGCGTGTGCACTTTTTCATTTCCTGTGACATCACCTATTGCTTCTTTTCCACTACGAGTGACCACAACCAGCTATCTATCTTCATCGTGCATTATCATTTTTTGTTTTCAATTGTGTTGAAAGTAAACTCAACTAACCATCAAGTACCTTTATTTCATCAGTATGAGAGTTTACTTTATTGTTCAATGATGAAAAATCATATTTCATCCCTTTCAATAATTCATTCGAGACTTCAACTTTATCAAGAATGCGTAAAGGCAAATCATTCACCCGGGGACTACTTGGACTCCCTCTCGATTTTGGGCTCTCACTTGAGTTAGTGTAGTCCTCTTCATAATAATCCTCCCTTCTCCAATAATCACTCTGCTCGGACCAATCTTGATGGTATCTCGTTTTCTCTTCCCCCTTGTTATAGTTCCAACCTTGATTCCCACCTTGCTGTAAATAGCATGGGTGGAAACCCTCCTCGCATCTCTTAGAGTTCCAACCTTGATTCTCCCCAGGCTTTGAATAGCCCGAAGAAGAACCCTCCTCAACTCTAAAAACTCCTATTGTCCCCTTTGATTTTCCCGCATTCTCCATCATATGCTCTTGTAAAAGCTCCATCTGGGTCAACATTTTCTTGATGTTTGCATCCCTTTATCTTTCCTTATCAATTTATTCATGTGTCATTCTAAAACAGAGAGGTGAGATTTGATCCTCTTGAGTGTACCTAGATTGATTTATCTTTGTCATATCATCAAGAAGAAATGAAGCAACCTCAAATGATTGTAACATTATCCCCCCTCGTACCAATTGATCAGCCACTCCTTTATTAACCGAATCAAGACTCCGGTAAAAATATTGGAGTAGCAGCTCATTTCGTAGCCCATGAGATGGGCATTTAAGGAAGAGTTTCTTAAACCTCACCCACGTTTCATGGATGGGTTCATCTTCCCATTGCTTGAAACATTGAATGTCATCTCTAAGTTTCATCATCCTTGATAGGGGGAAAGAATCTTGTATTAAATGTTACAATCAACTCCTCCCATGATGTGATAGAATTGTTTGGTAACTCGACCAACCACTTACTAGCTTCCCCCGTTAAAGAGAGTGGAAATAATCGAAGCAAGATTGACTCTTGTGACATATTTTTAAATGAAAACGGGCTGCACATCTCTATAAAATTTCTTATATGCTCATGCGGGTCTTCGTGTTCTAGCCCCCCCATAGTGTCCCCTCATTTGGAGGAGGTGAAGAGTTATGCTAGTGACCTCAAATATTTCATTCCCTTTGGCTTGTGGTATGCATATTGCGCCCATTTCACCAGATTGAGATGGGTTGTAAGCACTATTGATATCGTCGATACCATTCCGGTGACCTGCTTGACTACCATTCATCTCTTCCTCACTCATTTTGTTACTTCTATATAGTCCAACCAATACTACACTATGCAGCCTAAGCCAATTAAACTATAGCCAACCAGTTCACAAGTCAAATCATCGATCAAAAAGTTCTATGTAACGTTACTCCCCAGCAGCGGCGCCATTTTGATTAACCTTTCAATGACACTTCATCCAATTCTAAGTGTCGACGATCATTAGTCAATATAATAACCCAACCAATTAGATTGGGATCATTCCTACAGAGAGTAGTGTTCTTTGAATTCAAATACGAAAGTATGACAATGACATTTGTAGTTGCGCAATACAACACTTCAAGAGTTTCACAAACAATTTTCAAAATATTGTTGCCGATCCACTTCAATTTATCAACAAGAAACAATCAGATAATTTCGGAACACTTGGGGGTTGACTAATCAACTGTCGAATTCAACTAAATGGGTGTAAATTATTATCGATAATGCTAATCATTTTGGGTCGAATGGGCTATAAGTAAAACAACTTTCTCTTGAATAATTATCGTATTTATGTTGAGTTCTCTCGAACCTTAACACCATCCACAAGCTAAGCAGCCCACATTCTCATCAAATCCACTCACTCAAGCTAGACAAAAACGCTGGGTATTGGGTTTCACTTTCTCAAGCTGAAACCGTCAAGACCTACTACTAAGGATGCCAAAATAATACGTTGGTTCTGTACTTCTCTCTCGAACAGGCACAAAGTTTGAACTCTATCAAACCAAAGATGCAATAATAAGGTTAAACCACCATAATAATTTAGACTCGCTTCAGATTAACACCATAAACCACTAATTGATCACACCCATTTAGTAAAAATGCAACAATTGGTCACATTGTCAAACCCCCAAGGTAAGGGTTTTAGCCACACATGATGAAAAGATGAAAATTAACACCAACCACATTTTCCATAGATGGTTAAATGAAATTTGAGAGTTAAAAAGTACTAAAATCATCTCTATTACAAAATTGCAATGAAAAATCTTTCCAAAATAACTTGAAATCCTAAATCATCTCGCCTTTATTTTTCACCTCTGCTTAGTCCAGCCACCGTAATTTTTGGCGAGCTAGGGTTGGATCACCGAGCGATTCCGTGAAGTGCCCTTTCTCCTTTTCACTCACCCATAGGCACTTATCTGGATCATCATCAGTGCTTTTGGCGACCTGGTCATCCTTCACCGAAGTGATCGGTGACAGGCTAAGTGGAACTGTTGTTCACCAGAGTTGCCCCTAATTCAGCCTTACTGTTCTGTAAGTTTAGGAGGTATGCTGGCAACTTGGCGAATAGCTGAGTGACATAGGCGATCATCAGGCTTGTCTTTCCCTTCTCTTGCTTGCTCATGGTGTCTCTATCTCCCAATTCTGTCCTAGTTTTGTTCCTCAATCCATATGTCTGAAAATCAATGGTTTTACATCAGTTGTTAGCACAAAATTATATTTGAGGACACTAAATCAGTCCAAATAAAGCCCTTAATGAGTCCAAAACGTGGACTCATCAGAATTCAACATTAATATACTTCTAATGACCCATTCAAAAACTGAGGCATGTATATCTGAAATAACTGAAATATCTGGTATGTGTATTTCAAGAACTAAAGAACTACATAGCTAGGGTTCTGGAATTCATGAAAGAAACAAGGTAACATCATGATAATTTGATTTAGATCATAAAAGTAACTAATTTATATTTTTCTTTTGAAGTTCTAGAAACCCTAGGTCTAAGTAATATAAGGGAATCAAGAATCTGACTGAATTCTAGGGACCTAATGGGCTAAAGGAACCCACTAGTGAAATCCCACATACATGGTGACAAATTCCATGGAGAAAATTTTCAAATTTCAGGGGTGGAACTGGTGGAATCTAGTTACGTTCTTCAACTAGGGTTCTTGACCTCTTTCTCTTCTTACGCTCTAATTCATTTATGTTTTTATGAATGATCTGACTTATCTAAGTTCTAGTCATGTTTCTAGGTTAAAACTGACAAAAACCATGTAGTTTAGGGGTTAAACGATGTAGTTTAGGTGTCTAACCCATAAGGAAAAGTCCAAGACACCCCTGACTAAACTGATGTCGCGGTCACAGATAGATGGGACCGATGGACTGTCGATCGACTGACGGTCCGTGCTGGCCAACCGTCAGTCGTGACTGGGGGCTGCACTAGGGGTGTTGATACACGGACATGGACCACGGTCCGTGTGTCCGGCCATGGGTCGACACTCAGAATATATCTTAGGGCTGAGTCTCGAGATAGTCCCAGTTGCGAACCATGGACCACCAGCACGGGCCGTGGCTCACCCTACTATCCATGGGTGGCAACCGTGGCTTGCACCCGCAAATTCTGGAAATCTACACTAAGGTCTATTTTCGGATATGGTGTGTTACATTATCTCTCGATTAGTAACATTTGTCCTCGAATGAAGACTAAACTAGCTGAAATGGAGGGAAAGCGCTGCAACCCTACCACAAAAATACTAAGACTGATTACTAACTGAACTATGTTCAAAGAACATGCAAATATGCTGAAAATGCAAGTACAACCTAAAGGAACATGATACTAAGACTGAATCTGCGCATGATTGACTGAAAAATTGAAGAGGAACTATTACCTCAAGCTGGAGTGGAATCAGAAAGAAAGAGGTGAGGATATTTAGCCTTCATGGATGCTTTTGATTCCCAAGTAGCTCCCTCTACGGACTAACTCCTCCACAAAACCTTCACTGAGGCGACTTCTTTGTTTCTCAACCTTCGAACTTGACGATTAAGAATCTCAGCTGGTACATCCTAATAAGTGAGACTATCATTTATAGCCACACTTTCTAAAGGTACAATGGATGTTGGATCACCAACACACTTCTTCAACAACCAAATGTGAAAAATCGGATGCACTCTGTTAGTTCTGCTGGCCACTCTAACTCATAAGCCACTTTTCCAATCATTTTCAGAATCTTGTAAGGGCCCACATATCTAGGACTAAGCTTCCCTTTCTTGCCAAATCTCATCACCCCTTTCATAGGTGACACTTTCAAGAAAATCCAATCATTAATTTGGAACTGTGGTTCCATTCTCCTCACATTTGCATAAGATTTCTGGCGACTCTAGGTTGTCTTAAGTCTATCTCTAATGAGTTGCACTTTCTCCATAACATCATGAATTGAATATGGTACTATCAAGGCTGCTTCACCTGCTTTAAATCAACAAACTGGAGATCTACATCTACGCCCATATAATACCTTATAAGGAGCCATCTGAATGCTTGAATGGTAACTATTATTGTATGAGAACTCTATAAGAGGAAGGTGATCATCCTAACTACACTTGAAATCGATCACATGAGCTCTCAACATGTCATCTAAGGTCTGAATGGTACACTTTGCTTCCCTATCTGTCTGCGGACCTCTATCAGAGATGGTAGACAAAGGAACCCAATACAACCTGACTATCTCCTTAATGTAAAGTTTGGCATAGTCCTTCACCGAATATGTAGTCTTGACAGCCAAAAAGCGTGCAAACTTAGTAAGTCTGTCAACAATCACCCAAATGGAGTCATGCTATATACGAGTACGAGGTAAACCTATGATGAAGTCCATGTTTATAACTTCCCACTTCAAAGTAGGAATGTCGATCTCTTGAGTCATACCTCCTGGTTTCTGATGTTCTACTTTCACTTGCTGGCAATTTGGGCACTTAGCCACAAATTCTTCTATATCCCTCTTCATGCCATTCCACCAAAAGGCTTCCCTCAGATAACGATACATCTTAGTGGCACCTGGATGAATAGAATATCTGGAGTTATGGGCTTCTACAAGAATCTTTTGTCTCAACTCACCCACCTTAGGAATACATAATCAACCCTCATAGCGAAGCACACCATCTCCCCCTTGGGAGGAAACCTCAACTCTCTGCTGATGGACTGCACCCTTTAGCTGAAGCAATATCGGATCACTATCTTGGTTTTCCTTAACCTCCACTACTAATGAAGATTCTGACCCATTCTTAATTGTTACACCACCATCTGCTATGCTCATAAGGCAAACTCCCAAGCGAGCAAACCTATGAATGTCTTTTGCTAGTTCTTTTCTTTTTCCTCAACATGTGCTACACTACCCATATATAGTCTTCTAAGAGCATCTGCTACTACATTATCCTTACCAGGATGGTAATGCACACTCATATCATAATCCTTGAGGAACTCAAGCCATCTCCTCTAGTGAAGATTCAATTATTTTCTAGGTGGACACATATTGAAGGCTCTTATGGTCTGTGAACACCATACAAGTAGTGTCTCCAAATCTTAAGTGCAAACACCACTGCTGCAAGATCAAGGTCATTAGTTCGATAGTTCCTCTCATGCACCTTAAGATGTCTAGAAGCATAAGCTATAACCTTACCTCGTGCATCAACACACAACCTAGGTCGATTGTGGATGCATCACAATAGATAACATAACCGTTTGAACCCTCTAGTAGAGTCAAAATGAGTTGTAGTCAACCTAGTTTTCAGTTCTGATTATCTTTTCTCACAATCATCTGACCACTGAAACATAACTTTTTTCTGAGTTAATTTAGTCAATGGA